GCTGATCACATGTGCAGCACATTGGCAACTGCAATCCAAATACAGGTTAAGATGGCACCTTCCTTGGCTGTAAGAGATAGGAGGTTGTACTTCCACTTTAAGCTATTGGTGGGGTTGCAAGAAATACAAGTAGCTCTGGTATCTTCAAACTAGAGCATTAAAATAATCGTTCAACTTTTGAATACCATATAGGTGGCATTATAAGGGCTACAGAACAACTGAGGGAGGTAGTTATTTAAAAATATTTAGAGCTCCTTCACATCTGTTGTGGTCGCCTTAATGCAGCCCATTCATTGTGAATGGGTCGCACGACAAGGGATCAAGAAAAATATATATGACCCTTTTTGGAGCAACACAGCACATGATATACAGTATGCTTTCTATCCTATACAGTGTTCACAATAAATGTCAACGCATTACACATAGGACTGCTGCGCTGCCATGCATTAGAGAAACACACAATGAAGCATGCATTTTACTGCACGTTGCTGCATAAGTGTAAACAGGCTCTTTAGGGTTATGTAAGACTTTTTGGAGCTACTAAATGTACTGAACATAGCGTAATGATAAATTATAAAGTTTGCTCATGTAGCCTTGGGCCATGTGCCGCATAATAACCAATACATACTCTTAGGTGCCACCTGTGTGATCTCTGACAGTTTAAAACTTGCACTACTTGCCTCAACCTGCTTTTCCACCACCCAGTGTTCGTCATTTCGTTACAGTGCAATTATAATTGACATTCAAACATTAGAATATATGTATCATCCATATGATAAAGTCATTTACACGTGTAAAGGGAAAATAGCGTCTTTTATTGGATGGAAATTATCTTAAAAAAAATAACTTACGTTTTTTTTTGTCTCATCGGGAGTGACTTACCAGTGCCGTTTTACTCAATTTTTCCCTGATGTCAGTTTTATACATAATTAGTAGGGATGTGTGCACCTAGGCATTTCTCTTTCTGCCTCTTCTTATTCCTGCTTAAAGGGAACCTGTCAGGAAGGCTGTCATCTTACAGATTCGAGTTTGTGATCAAGAGCTGAAGGCTACCATGTAATGACTTTTGCATCTTTTTTTTAGCTCCCTTCTGTTCATAAAACCACATCATGCTACACAAGTGAGCGGTTTAGCAGAGAGGAATTGAAGAAGTGAGAGGAGAATCAATAATAAAACATCATCTATTATATTTCACACTGAAATCTCAGGAGACCACATCGGTAACAGCACATTAGCCAGTGCCCCAACTTCTGATTGAGACATCAACTAGCATTTATCCAGTTGATATGGTAAAATCATCAGCTTGGGATGCCCCATACTTCACCTGTTTCTGTAAACCCGTCACATAAAACTCCTCACAATGGCATCAGACCTAGGGGGACACGTTACTTTCTCTATGTATAGCCATTTCTTGGTGGCTTCTGTAATTGTCCATGGGCCATTACCCTAAGAGGATATCAGGCTGTGACTATCTCCCATTTTTCAGTCCAACTTCTTCTTTACCCCATGACCCTTAGTCAATTCAACCCCCATTTGTTATATGCTTGGTAACTTTTCCGGAACATGCAGAAGAACACATCTTTATCATTAAATTGGACAATTATAGTAATATGGTTGCCAGTCTCTTGTTGGTGCAAGCTTTGTTATCCTGCAAGATATCTTACAGTGGACACCGGGAATCCATAGAGGAACTTGGTCTCAAACCAGTGTCCCCTTCCCAGAAAGGGGGTTCTCCAAGCAACATTCTCATGGTGGATTGTGATCTCTCCCACCAACCAAAGACATCTGGCTCTCCACAGAATACTCCATCATAGTTGTCGCCCTATGGTAGAAGGAAAGGGGTCACAAATATGTAAACATACCTTGCATAGCTTTGTGTCCATCCTTGATGTGCAATTTACATTATGTACAGTATTTCACTGTTCCTGAAGGAGCATTTTTTTAAATGTTTTGTGAACCACTTAACAAGAAATCTGCTATTTGTATATCTTCTTTCAATGACTTTGTACTGCCCCAACACCATATACAGCCATTTAAATTGTTTAGTCACAGATATTGACCTAGTTGCTAATATTTGCCACTTATTTCACGGATCAACTTTTAAGAATTTCTTAACCGTCTTGTCATACATTTTTGTATGCGTGTAAGCTTTAAGTATAAGATGCCATGAAAGAGTAGTTCTGGCTTGTTGACGCCTTCACGCTCTGGTCTTGCCCATTCACATGTTCATGTTCTGGTTTAAGTCAGCCCATTCATTTGAAGGGGCTGCCAATCCACTACAGTGCACAGAAAACTGTGCCTGTACCATTTTCGGCAACACATCCCACGACAATGCAAGGAAGTGTGTTGTGACGCACTGCAACTCAGGTGCATTGAAGCACACATAGTGTTGTGAACGGATATTTAAGGTGAACCAAAGCTTTGTCCATGTAAACCGAGTGCTCCCAGCTATTGGCAGCATCTGACACTTTCTCCATTCTCCCATAGTGTTGCACTCTGGTGCCAGTGGTCAAGCCTAAGTGCTCATTGCTGCTGCATCTATACTCTGGCATGCATTGGGGAAAGTTTACATATGCGTTTACAGGAAACTGTCATAATAGAAATATGGGATCTTACCTTGCTTACTTGTATCTGAAAAGGGATGCTTTAGGGCTATAACTCCTTGACCTGGAACAACCATCTGCTTACAAGATGCCCTTATATTTGATATGTAAATGCTTTCTAAAGGTCCGTTATTTAACAAATAGTGAAGGAAGAATAGGGATGAAAGCCTTAGAACTTGCATTCCTCATTTCAGGACCGTCGGCAGAGCCGTGCTTATAATTACTTTACACCTTAATGGCTAACTGCACATCCAGAACTGATGGTGTATAGTAAATACACAGCCAAATATTACAAACCTATATATTCCAAACTACATACACTTATTTTAAGGCTCATTAGCCATCATCAATGCAGTGCAGGGAAACAATGGCATCAATGAAGCAGAACTTGGGGACCAACAAGAAGGTAAAATGTGAAGGTTATGGTGAGAAAATAATTAAAAAGCCCTTACACTAAACCAGTGCACATCTTTTTTTTCCCTTCACTACTTAAATAACTAGTTAAATAACTGACCTTTAGCAATAATTTACATATCAAATATAAGTGCACTGTTTATATGCAATGCACTAATGATGGCAACTATGCCTGAAAACAACTGTATGCAGTTTGGAATAAAATAACCTAGAATATTAGGCTATATCTGTACAATACACCTGTGGTTCTGCTGTTAACCATTGTGGTGTAAAAGAAAGATTTGCATGGCTCTGCCCACTGTCCTAAAAATTAAAGGAACTATGAGGTGAGTGCTTCTCACTCACCTCATAGTTCTAGCCAACCTGTGACAATGAGACTGTCACAGGTCGGCTCAGTAGATCGGGAGGTGAGCAAACATATACCGGCGTTCGCTCACCTCTCGATCCTGTCACGGCTCTCTGCCGTGACAGGGAGGGGCTGGATTCCCCCCTCTCTGCTCCGATCCGCCAGCGCTGACTGGTGGAACGGGAGGGGGCGGGAACAGCTGGCTCTGCCTCCTAGATAGGCAGAGCCAGCTGTCACTCACGCAGCTGGGCGGATTTAGACATCGATGTCGGGATCCGCTGCGGCGTCTCAGTATACCGCGAGCTGTAGCTCGCGGTATACTGAGCTTAGGGTAACGGGAGGACTCTAGTTTGTATCCTCCCGTTACCCTAAGGAGAACTATGGGGAAAAGCCCTGACCCCATAGTTCTCCTTTAAGAATAATCCTAATATTTTTGCAACAATATGCAGTGGTTCATTCGGAGCGCTTTTTGATCTCTTTAAACCATAACCTTCATGGTTCCTTTCCTGCCTAGGTATGGAGGACAATGCAACACAATTTAGCAGTTTATGGAGCATTGGTGATATGAATAAGAACCAAGCAGATTTCACCTTTTTATAAGTTGGCTGGAAAAATCCTAAACTATACAATCTGGTTTTGGGTGGTATTTTAGGAATCTTTTGTTACCCTTGATCAGTATATGCTAAATAGGTTTGTTGCTTAGTTCCTGTCTTCAGGGCTTGAGTTGTTCCATTGATTTTAGTGCTATGGTTGGGTGAGATTGGTCACATTCCTAGTGCCCAATATAATACATTCAAACACACAACTCTTTCTTGGCGTTAAGTCTGCTATTTCACAACTTAGTAAAACAATGTATTTAGCAATATGAAAGAGCACATTTATAGCTTGCTTGATGCATTGTTTTTTGAACTTTTTAATGTGATGGGTGTGTTTGGTGCACGGGTATCAGCTTTTCAACATTGGGCTAAAAACACTGAATAGTCCTCTTAGGTCTCCACGTCCGGTGTTATTCAATCTTTGGAAAGAAACCACGTGACTGCACTGAAGCCTCGCTTTAACAAATATGATGTTGGTGAGGAAAAAAATGACCATTGGCCTATTTTTTCCATAATGCAAGGTCGTATTCAGAAATGTTTTTCTAATAAAGTCATGCTACAATGATTTGAACTTTGACCCTAGCTCAATTCCCTCACACGCCAAATCTATCCATCGCCCCTGTGGGGAGTGGTACTATCCACATTGCGAACCACTGGTAGAGGTACAGTTTGTCTGTTAATTACAGCTAGTAGTGCCTTGCTGCCAGCTGACCGGTCTCGTGTTCTCCTGAAATGCGGTTAGCTGTTCAGATACTTGCATCCTTGTGAGAGCTTTAAAGCTAACTAAAACAACAATATAAAATCAGTCACCAGTTACTGATCTCTGAAGAGCTTCTATGATTTGATATTAGGTATATTTGATATAAGATATTAGAGTGTCTTGGGTTTTGGGGTCCTTTTGGGCTCAGTGGGTGGTAACATGTACATGACCACAGATTCACCCGAAGGCTTTTCATTCTTCTTTGAGATACTGACATAGCACGACATGTATACATTTTGCGTTCTATGAAGTTTAATAGATTGCTGTTTTTAATTTTGCAGGTTGGAGACTACTCGGCTAGCAAGATTCTAAATTATTGCATTTGATCCTGGATCAGAAAACCTGATTTGTACTGTGACTTCAATGGAAAAATCTCTCCGAGATCTAGAGGGCAGTACGACAGGGGAGTCTAGCCGTGACCTGATACCGGAACCCGCACCCCGCCCCGCCTGGGGCAGTAAAGTTCAGTATATCCTTGCTCAAGTTGGCTTTTCTGTCGGTCTTGGAAATGTTTGGCGATTTCCTTACTTATGTCATCAAAATGGAGGAGGTGAGTGTCTAAGCTTTCAGTAAGACTTCAGTAATGTTGGTCAGTAAGGTAACTTCCAAGTAAAGTGGAAAATATAGTGCCTTTTATATATATATATATATATTTGTTTCAGAACTGTTCAGAACTGGAAAAAAAAAATGTTTTATAATCAGGTAAACATAAAATGTTTCCAGTTAGCAGGTGACAAAGTCTATGTAATAGGAGGAGCTGTGTGCGGGTTCTAACTATAGATGCTCTGATAAAAATAGACTGCTGAAAAGGTCAGTCAGTAAGCCTAGTCGGTTTACGGAGGCTGCCAACAAGCATGTAGGCACTGCTAGGCTTTCTTTAGGACTTGCATAGGTGTCCATTTATGAGGCTATCCAAACCATGTCTTGATCAGGCTGCAGTTGGTGCAATAACTGCTTTCCCCACTCCACCCACTACTGAAAGGATAATTAGACCCAATCAGGAGCAGTTCTGCTGTGTGCATGGCTATTTTTCTGTGCACATGTACTATTCAGGTTCTTTCCACTGTGCTCAGGATAAAAAAATAAAACCAAGGTAGAGCCGGAGTGCCACAACCTGGTGCAATAAACCAGGTATGGGAGGAATGACAAATATAAAACAGTGTAGGGCTGCAACAACTAATCGACTAAATCGATTATGAGAATAGTTGGCAAATAGTATTTCCCTCAGATATATCATTGTTGTATATGATACATATATCATTGAGAACCCATGGGATGGCAGGGTTAAAACCTTTGTAAAAACCATTTCACAACTTAGTAAAACAATGTATTTAGCAATATGAAAGAGCACATTTATAGCTTGCTTGATGCATTGTTTTTTGAACTTTTTAATGTGATGGGTGTGTTTGGTGCACGGGTATCAGCTTTTCAACATTGGGCTAAAAACACTGAATAGTCCTCTTAGGTCTCCACGTCCGGTGTTATTCAATCTTTGGAAAGAAACCACGTGACTGCACTGAAGCCTCGCTTTAACAAATATGATGTTGGTGAGGAAAAAAATGACCATTGGCCTATTTTTTCCATAATGCAAGGTCGTATTCAGAAATGTTTTTCTAATAAAGTCATGCTACAATGATTTGAACTTTGACCCTAGCTCAATTCCCTCACACGCCAAATCTATCCATCGCCCCTGTGGGGAGTGGTACTATCCACATTGCGAACCACTGGTAGAGGTACAGTTTGTCTGTTAATTACAGCTAGTAGTGCCTTGCTGCCAGCTGACCGGTCTCGTGTTCTCCTGAAATGCGGTTAGCTGTTCAGATACTTGCATCCTTGTGAGAGCTTTAAAGCTAACTAAAACAACAATATAAAATCAGTCACCAGTTACTGATCTCTGAAGAGCTTCTATGATTTGATATTAGGTATATTTGATATAAGATATTAGAGTGTCTTGGGTTTTGGGGTCCTTTTGGGCTCAGTGGGTGGTAACATGTACATGACCACAGATTCACCCGAAGGCTTTTCATTCTTCTTTGAGATACTGACATAGCACGACATGTATACATTTTGCGTTCTATGAAGTTTAATAGATTGCTGTTTTTAATTTTGCAGGTTGGAGACTACTCGGCTAGCAAGATTCTAAATTATTGCATTTGATCCTGGATCAGAAAACCTGATTTGTACTGTGACTTCAATGGAAAAATCTCTCCGAGATCTAGAGGGCAGTACGACAGGGGAGTCTAGCCGTGACCTGATACCGGAACCCGCACCCCGCCCCGCCTGGGGCAGTAAAGTTCAGTATATCCTTGCTCAAGTTGGCTTTTCTGTCGGTCTTGGAAATGTTTGGCGATTTCCTTACTTATGTCATCAAAATGGAGGAGGTGAGTGTCTAAGCTTTCAGTAAGACTTCAGTAATGTTGGTCAGTAAGGTTCAAGTAAAATGGAAAATATAGTGCATTTTATATATATATATATATATTTTTTTCAGAACTGTTCAGAACTGGAAAAAAAAAATGTTTTATAATCAGGTAAACATAAAATGTTTCCAGTTAGCAGGTGACAAAGTCTATGTAATAGGAGGAGCTGTGTGCGGGTTCTAACTATAGATGCTCTGATAAAAATAGACTGCTGAAAAGGTCAGTCAGTAAGCCTAGTCGGTTTACGGAGGCTGCCAACAAGCATGTAGGCACTGCTAGGCTTTCTTTAGGACTTGCATAGGTGTCCATTTATGAGGCTATCCAAACCATGTCTTGATCAGGCTGCAGTTGGTGCAATAACTGCTTTCCCCACTCCACCCACTACTGAAAGGATAATTAGACCCAATCAGGAGCAGTTCTGCTGTGTGCATGGCTATTTTTCTGTGCACATGTACTATTCAGGTTCTTTCCACTGTGCTCAGGATAAAAAAATAAAACCAAGGTAGAGCCGGAGTGCCACAACCTGGTGCAATAAACCAGGTATGGGAGGAATGACAAATATAAAACAGTGTAGGGCTGCAACAACTAATCGACTAAATCGATTATGAGAATAGTTGGCAAATAGTATTTCCCTCAGATATATCATTGTTGTATATGATACATATATCATTGAGAACCCATGGGATGGCAGGGTTAAAACCTTTGTAAAAACCAGTTGATAATGTACCCACTGTTAATGTGCAGTTGTAGGAACAAAGCACCTTTTATGTATAAATATACCTCAAGGGGAAAAAGGAGAAGGTATTTTCTATTAGGCTGCCTAATACTATAACAAAGAATATTTATATCTGATGTGACCTAAAGGAAGTGGAGTCCTGTAGCACTTTCCACAGGTAGCTAGATATGGGAAAATTGTTGTAACATCTTAACAATATGCTAACACAGACTTTAGAGGTGCAGGAGCATAATGTTCATGAACATGTTAGTATGTTCGTAGATAGTCACCTCCCAATAACACTAGCTACAACCATTTAAAGCAATCCTACTCGGACACTACCCAGGCACACCCTAATTCATCGTCTGCTGGAGAATAAACCTTACTAAACCTTGCTGCTAGTTACTGTCCACTTATTGAATAGATCATGGTCTCTGCCATTCACAGTGTTAAGTTTATTCTTCTCCAATTCAAAAGACTGAAAGATATAAAGAATAAACTATAAGTGCCTCATTCCTACTACATTTTATGGATGAAAGGTTGAACATTGTCTTGTTGTAGGCAGTGGGCAATGATTTAGGCAGTGGGCAATGATGAGGGAGTATATAAGTAGCTAAGCGGGTGCAAGGCACAGTGAATTGGTTCTATGCTTTGCAAGTCTACGCTGGTAGTTTTCAGCACATGGCTTTAAGTTCTGAGAACTAGTAAATGTTTCTAAAAGTTCCTCTGTTCCTAACTTGGGAAGTATCCCTAACACTAAACGTCACCTTCAACTCGTAATCCTCCTCTAAATTGGTTAACTATTGACCTCCCTGTAACATTTATCTTCGAACCTAGCCTTCTTAACCCAACCCCTAAAATAAGCCCCTAGCGTTTCACACTTATCTTAAAACATAACGTCCTTAACCCTTACCTATAAAATACCTTTGCCCAGACCATGGAAATTAAACATTACACCTTTGCAACAAGCTCTCACTCACTTCTTTAGCTGCTTGTAATGTGAACGTATTCATTCTCAAAGATTACAACGAAGTCTCTAAAGTTGGTTTCATTTGGTTTTTAACAGCTTAGAAAGACCTGCTGTGTGTGTTTACATTAGAGGGCTGGTGGGCTAGAAAGATCTTCTCTCATGTAAAAATGCTAACAGTGCCTCTGTTGTAAAATGTAAAACGGATTTCATTTAAAATGCCTTCAGATACAGAGGTGAATGAGGGCTTGCTTTGAGGCGTTTTTACTGTTGGAATATGTAAATTCTTTACTGATTCTAACACTAAGCTACCCTATCAGTAAACTAAGGCCTCATTCAGATAGACTAAAAGTGCCAACATGCGGCAAGAATCTACAGATTCCTGCGGCCGGGATCAAAGGTGGCTGCGGATAGCTGCAGATGCCCAGCCTGTACAAAGCAAAGCATTGAGAGGCTGACAGTAGCTGCAGCTGTCTGCCGCTGTTTGCATGTGTCTGCACATCCTTGTTATGGGAATCTGCCGATTCTTGCCGCATGTTGGCACTTTCGCACCAACATTAAGTGGGTCTTTATTTTCCCACTTGGGTAGTGCATCTTCAGACCGTATTCTATACTTCCAGAGCAGCAGTAACAGTATACAACAGTTTCAGTTGCTTACCCGCTTGGAAGAAGATGGACTTGAACCCTCCATAGGGGCATGCCTATGCGTTCTTCAGGCGCATTGTTCATGGGGGAGAAAAGGTAGTGATTATCTCATGCATCCAACTCTCGCAGTAGATTAATTCCACAAGCTACATTGGACAAGTACTGCCTTCCTCTGACAAGGACTGTCTTCATCTTACTTACAATGACTCCAAACTTTAGAGGGATATCAACCAATTCTGCACCTTTTCATCATTGACATTCAACAGATTAAACAGGAATTTTTTTAAAAGGTTGCTAGTGTAAATACCTGAATCTTTCTTCATACTACAGTCTTCTGTACAGCAGGACTGGGAGAGGGAGGATCTTTCTTACTCTTGTTTCGAAACTTAGTGAGTTAGTGACCTTAAACAACAATGCCGGTTATCATTAGATGTATGGTTGTTTTGGTTGAGTGGCTTACTAAGTGAAGGAAGGATGAGGATGGCTGCAATGGTGTTACCATATTTGTGTTCCCGCAGAGTTCTATTAAGCTGCATGTTAATGCTTCATACCATTTGCTTGACTTGTTTTCTGTCTAATAATGGGTGACTCTTGCTGCTGTATTAAGTAAACTTACAACTACGCACTCCCTTATTGATTTAGCCTATCTACATCTGTCCCTAGAGCTTTTACATTTATAACAGGCAATTCCGTGTGTAAACTCTCGGTACTGGTAAATATTATGATGTGTATGTAGACTGAATTTGACTTTGAGCTAGAAGAGTTTAAGTGGGTATACATCACATGATGTCCATGTGCTTGTATTTATTTGTAAACTCATCTCTGATGCCAATTCGTAAATTTCAATATGTTAACCAAAGACTTTGAAAGAGACCTCTACTGGAAACCTTTTGAAAGTTCCCTCGATATTCCAACATTCCCAGACATTCCACTGTAAGATGGACACTATTCAAATTAATGACCCTATGCTTTGTTCTATTGCTTTGGGAATCTGTTGCAAAAAAGTGACCTCCAGCCCAAGCTTCACATACTCATTACTGAATTATAGGTACAGCATATTCATTTCTTGAACATTTTGGACTATCTACCAAAGGGAATGCGATGCATTCCTATGAATTCATAATGACAGTAAATAAGAGATGATGCTGAAACTTCCAGCAAAAATATCTTACTACTGAAGTCTAGAAGAAATAAGTAAAGTTGAAATTTAGGACTTTTTCTTGGGTACATGTAATGGTGTGCATCCCATCCCCTGCAGGCTGCTACTACTTGATAAATAATATCCCTTATGCCACCTTCATAGCTGCTGGATATTGCCTTGAGCTGCTGTCTTCTGGTGCTGTATGAATTGACAGCAGCTGCTGCTAGCATGAAGAGTTGCACTGCTTGCCAGCCCCTTCATGCCCTCTCCCCCATTCAGAGAGCTTGTACTACTACTACTACTACTACTACTACTACTACTACTACTACTACTACTATTCTCCTATAATACATCACGTTTAGCCCCCTTTAGAGCACCCTTTAGATTTACCAACAGCCATGTAGCACAAGGGCCTGCTTGATCAGATACAGATTTAGGTAGGACCTCATATTACATTGTTTTGATAAATCTAAAGGAGATTTTACAAAGATTGTACTGTCAGAATATAATATGGTTGGTGGGCTTTACAGATTCACCCCTAAGCGTGAGTCGAGGTGTTATTTTTGGTGCTTTTGTATGTGTGACCTCTAGTACAGGAGCAGAATTGTGTCTTCTTGGCCCCATAGATTTTTTATTTCATAAACCATAGTTTTCATCTTCCAGGACAGCAAGCCTAAGAGGTACTTGCCAATTAAGAGGAGTGTGCCCTGATAGGAAAAAGGTGGAACCCTGTCCTACGTCTATGGACTTGAAGGACGGGCTGCCTATGCTACGTATAATGTTGCCTACAGCACCTGCTATTCCCAGGCGGTTTCCCAGCCTACGGCAACATCACCCTGAAAGCGCCTGATCCCATCTGATCTCTGAGGCTAAGCAGGATTGGGCCTGGTTAGTACTTGGCTGGGAGACCACCTGGGAATACCAGGTGCTGTAGGCAACATTATAGGTAGCATAGGCATACTTTAAGCCCATAGACTTAGGACAGGGTTCCACTTTTTTCCTATCGTGGGAAAACACCTGTTGATCAGCATCAGCAAGTACCTCTTTAAGTAGGCTTGCTGGAAGATTCCCAGAAATACTCTTACCGGTAAGTCTAACAGGGATTTTCAATGCACTCCCATAGAAGGCCAAGGGACCAAAAATGCTTGAAACTGCTCCAAAAGAAGCTTATGTACTTTTTCAAATTCAAGCAGCAGGTAACACGGCATTCATTTGTGAACGGGCACCATTTAATACAAAGGGAGTCTTCATGTTGAATGATGAAGCACTTCAGCAAACGCACTTTAAAGCGCTCAGGTGTGAATGTGATCAACGGTCAACTTTAAAGGATTAGCAAACTTTTCGTCAAAGTTCAGTTATGCCCTCGTTCCCCGCTGTGTTACGCTAGCCCCCCTTCCCCAAATGCATAGTTGCCTAAAAAAGGAAAAGGCTTGGGAGAAAACCCACACAGAACACTAATACGAGGCATCTGTACAGGCAGCAGATGATTGGCAGTGGAATGTACCTCCAAGGCTGGGGTCATATTTGCAAGGTAAGTAAGTATCGGGATTAGAAAAATGGATGAGTGCTCTTTGTTTGAAAGTGCAGTTATCCTCTAAACTTTATCTACTCCCCAAAGACAAAAAAGTGATATATTACAGCCTACTGGTCCTTTTGGATGTGGATGCATTTATTTATTTTTAGGCTTTTTTTTGTAACTTTATTTTCACCTGGTGATCCTGGGAGTGAAAGAATTAAAGCACTTACAAGAAAAAAAAGACAGTGATGAGGGAATCGGGAAAATCTGTGACTCCATCATTTATTTTTGCTTCAACATTTGCATTTGGATATGTCTGCTCACCACTATCAGCTAACCGTCTTCTAACCTGTGCTCATTCTATGCGGCAGATTGCCCTCTAGTGGTGAGCAGGTTGTGTGTGTGTGTACACAGACACACACACACACTTGTGTCACTGCTGCTGTTCTTTTTAGAAAGCATTATTCAATATAATGTTGTTATTTAAATTCTGTTTTGCCATTTTGTGGAAGTGACAGAAGAATGATTAAGTTGATTCATTTATTGTCTTGACAGGTGCCTTCCTGTTACTGTACTTTCTACTGCTGCTCATCATCGGCATACCCCTTTTCTTTCTGGAGCTAGCAGCTGGGCAAAGCATACGTCAGGGAAGCATTGGCGTTTGGAAGCATATTAGCCCTCGGTTAGCTGGAATTGGCTTTGCTAGCTGTTTGGTAAGTACATGCCAAGTTTTTTTTTATTGTTATGATGATGACTATTATTATGGTAAATTCTATTATTATGATGATATTTAAATGATCATCCCTGGCGGTGCTCTACAAAGTAAAATATATAACCTCAGGTAATATACGTAGCAAACATTTCCAAGGCCAGGTATGTAAAGTTCCTCAATAAAATGTAATCAAGCAATAGAAGGTCTCAGCAGGAATAAGTTTGAAGGGAACAAAGGTCTACAGTGGGAATGTTGAAGGAAGTCTGAAAGAAGTCCTTTGGAAGGTGGGAGAAAGGGTGAATTCTGGTACATGTTGATGCAGACCATGACATGGCTGGCTTAACTTTACCGTTCAAATGTTAGCCACATTATCTTACACAAGTCCGGTGTCTGATTAAATCGAGGTAAAGCACAGATTGAAATGCATTAAAGGAGAATTATGAGGTGAGTGCTTTTCACTCAGCCTCATAATCTGAGCCGACCTGTGACAATGAAACTGTCACAGGTCGGCTCAGTAGATCGGAAAGTGAGCGAACACATACCGGCGCTCGCTCACTTCTCGATCCTGTCACTGCAGAGTGCCGTGGCAGGGGAGGGACTGGATTCTCCCCTCTCCTGTCCGATCCTCCAGCGCTGACTGGCGAAACGGACTGGGAAGGGGCGGGTACAGCTGGCTCTGTCTCTAGATAGGCAGAGCCAGCTGTGTGTGTGTTGCAATGCCAGCTCTTTTAAAACACAAGCCAATTGCCATTGCATGGATCCCGCGAGCTGCAGTGTTTTTTTTTTTTTTAGAGGAGTGGTTAAGTCTGCTTTTGTGTGAAAGATGCCTAACTAGTCAAAGTGCATTTAGGAACACTGATTGTCTGAAACCTGAACGCTACTGAAATTTTCTTCAGCTATCAAGAGGATCATTGGGTGGAACTTATTGTACTGCCCACAGATGAGAAATAGGTAGGTTTGAATTGCCAGCTTGCAGGACTGTTTTGCTTTTGCAGCGTATCTGTTTCTCCTTTTAATATGTCGGTACTTTAAGCACTTTTATAAATAGATAATGCAGAGTATTAATGCTGAATAAATAACATAACCATCTTCTGTTTGCAGGTGTGTACATTTGTGGCCCTGTATTACAATGTTATTATTGGATGGAGCCTCTTTTATATGTTCAATTCCTTCCAGTATCCCTTACCATGGGAGAACTGCCCCAGACCGGCCAATCAGACACAAGCAGGTCAGTACTAAATAGACTGAGAAAATGGCTCGTGTAGTATTTAGCTTCCCACTGGTTACTTGGCCTTCTTTCATAGGCAAGAGGTATGTTGGTGGATGGCATATGAGATTTATATCTAAGTAATCATTCTGCCAATGGTTTAATTCACCCAAGACTTGTTGTTTCACTTATGGATGGATAGTAGCAGCTGAAACCACTTATAACGCTTAGTTAGTCCAGCCGCTATCTTCTCCATAGACTATCTATGGAGAAGATCTTGGTAGAGTTGTAACAATACCTGTATAAAATTGTGACGTAAAGAGCCTTGTCATTGGTGACCAGAGTTGCTGGTATGCTGATTATCAGTGTAAAATGTTGACAATCTTACCTCCTCGACCGTTGAGCTGTTTGTCTGAAAAATGAAAAGTTTGAGGGTAAGTAAGGATAGTATAAAACCAGACAGGAAGCTCTTGCTTTGTGTCTGAGGATTTTAAAATGGCAGCTTGAAAATACATTTTGCACAGTGAACATTGGATGGACACGTGCTAATCATTCCTTTCTGCTCCAGCATGACAACAGTTAATCTAGTACTGCTTCAGTAAGACTTTAAAGTGTATATAAATCCTAACAATCAACTTCTCTTATTTGCTCTATTTTGGTCTTCTAAATATACAATTAAAAGGGGTTTTTTTTTAATACCTGTTGAAATCTTGTGAGCTGACTCACAAGTGCACAGTTAGAGGTTGTGTAGATGAGGAATGAATAGATGGGGAGAGATCTGTATTCTTTGTAATCCATTAGAACTGAAGTAGACAAGGCTGACACTGCATGCTTAAAAATTCAATGCTGTGTTGTCATGTCAAAGAGGAAGGTAGGAACAGACTATGTTTCTGGCATATCAACAGGTATTTTTCTGTACTTGCAGTGTGTGTAAAGGTAAAAATAAAACGGGGAAATGTAAATGTATTCCAAAGTTGTACCAAATATGTTTTTTTTTAATTTTTATTATTTTGCCATGACATGGGCTTTAACAACATTATCTGGTAATGTGTGTTTTTGGTATTTTACAGAGTGTGTCAAGAGTACACCCACGACGTACTTTTGGTACAGAAAAGCCTTGGATGTTACAGAGTCTATTGGAGCCTCAGAGATGAACTGGCCAATGACAGGGTGTCTTGTTCTAGCCTGGGTACTGGTTTGTGCTGGCATGATCAAAGGGATCAAGTCTTCTGGCAAAGTTAGTTGTTAATATGTATCAGTAATTGATTTTTTGTAACCTGTTTCACTGTCCAATACTAAAGAGTAATGTGTTAGAAGTATAAGCAATTAAGAGTCTGAAACATTGAGATATCTATTTCCTAGCTGAGTAGAATAACGGAAGCTCTTAAGGCAGACCAAGTGTCTACAGGCCATGTACACTTCTCCATCGAGGTGCATTGCGGTAATGCATGTTACTTCATCTTAGCACAGAAACTTACCGAGACTGTACACTGAATTGCGCATCCACGGCTCAGTGTCCAGAAATGCTGTCAGGCAGGAAGAAGCAATTATGACAGAAGAGACATACAGAGTCTCTTCTGTCATAAAAACGTTAACTGTCAGCAGTTTTTAAACCAAGGTGTGACGACATGGTGATGAGTTTTTATAAGTTAAATGTGTATTGGTGTTGGGTTTAAGTGCGTTATGATTTGTGACCTGGTTATGAAAAGACTATCAGCACCATCCCTCGTTATCTCCCTTTGTACTGTGAAGGAGCTCATAACAATGACATTCTGGCCAGGCTCCTGCTATGGCTGTCTGGAGCTCGTCAGCAGGTGAAACCCTGTGGTGTTAAGCAGACCGATTGTCTGGGGAGGGCAGGGTGGATGTGATGGGATTATAATCTGATCTCATCACTTGCTGTATAAAAGTTTGTGCAGTTGCTTCAATAAATCAGAGTTTGTGTCACCCTACACTCGTGTCTCGACCAGTGACTGGGGAAACTGGGAGCTAAGGATTTTCAGGTTGCAATATCTCCTCAGCAAGGAAGAATACAGCGGCGGACATACTCATCCTGAGTACGGGGGTCCGTCACACAAGGGACTTAACACCCACTTTAATTATTCTGCTTCAAAAAGAACATTTCAAGTCCAAATTTTTTTCTATGTAAACAGTCCAGTACCAGAGCTTCTACTGGCCAAACACTCATACCTCACATGTTTTGCCTGAATAGGGCTTCATCAGGGGTCTTGTGTAATAACATGTCAAGTTAACAATAACAAACATAACAAACAAACGTCACAGACCACATGGCTCTCCTCCTTTTTATATAGGTTCTTATTGACTCTCCTATTGGCGCCTCCTATTATACAAGGGAATGGAGTAAACTAATTGCAGTGGACGCGATGATGTCATTAGTGCAATGATTCTGTGGGAGCGTGATAACATCAGTGATGATGTCGGTGACATCATCAGAGAGCACCAATAGGGACCTATATAAGGAGGAGAGCCATGTGGTTTGTTTATTATGGCACTATGAGCACTTTGCACTTGACACGTTATTGCACAAGACCCCTGATTAAACCCTATTTGGGCATGGGTGTTTGGGGAATAATTTAGTTTAGAGGGGGAGAGTAATAGAAGAGAAAATGAAAAGAAAGTGATGATGAATAAGGAAAGCTCCTCACTCTAAAATGGAAAGGCTGCATTTTAAAGGAGGAAAAGCCAAAAGGAGGAAAAGCCAAAAACAGATACTCTCTGGACACGTTCCCGTAGCCAGTTCTCTATCCACGTACACACCACCTCATCTATGCCCATAGCCCTCAGCTTGTGAAGTAAGCGCTTGTGTGGTACCGTATCAAATGCCTTTTGAGAAATCCAGGTATACCACATCTACCGGCATCCCTCCATCCATATCTCTGCTTACCCCCTCATAAAAATCCCCCCCCCCCCCCCCATTTCCTAGTTTAAAAGTTTAAAAGCTCCTCCAGTCTTTCTACCATAGTTCTGGTGACTCTACTAACCACCAAGAATTGCCCTCACTTTTGATGGGTTTCCTCTCACTTCCTGTTATGGCTATCCAAAGAGAAATCAAAATGCTGATGGGACACATATGGCAAAAAAGATGACAGGGGTCCTTTACTATACCCAGAACTTTAAAAAAAAACATTTTGGTTTCAGTTCTACTTTAAACTCTTGAAGTTTTCATCTATTTAGTCATTCAAAAGTATCATTTTAACTCTCAATTTCTCCTGTCAGGCTTAAAAACTGTAACTCAGGTTTATTTTTTGTGACTACATTCATTTTATTGGCTTTTCTAGGTGATGTACTTTAGCTCAGTTTTTCCTTACGTCGTGCTGTTGTGTTTCCTCGTCCGTGGATTGTTACTTGATGGTGCTGTGGATGGGATTCGTATCATGTTTACACCAAAGGTATGGATCATGGCCTCTGCAAATCAATGATGCTTGTTTGTGTCACTGTAAACGATGCCATGCTATGCTCATGTTTTACTTAAAGGGAGTCTTTCATTTCAGAAGTATCGTATAGAAGTTGCCATGCTCCAGCTTGATGACTGTGCACTGACTTGACTCATAGTAAACCTTAGAGAACTAGTCATGATTGAGCGTATGTAACAATCTGATAATTAAATTATTATAATTACACCGGCTTACTAATTAAATATTTGTCCGTCCCCTCCCCCCCATATTTCACTTTATTTACTTTGCCTGAGCCTGGTTGTGAGTCAGGAGTCAGAGTTTGCTGCCTTGTTGATTGCCCAAACTCATTCACTGTCTCCCAGCTCCTAAGAATGCATAACTGCACAGAGACCTGTAATTGTTTATATTCCTATTAACTATAGAAAACTATGATTTGACCCTATTATTTATTCTCAGTAGCTAGGACAGCAACTATTAGTCTTCAGGTGACCTCTGGCCCTAAAACGCAAGCTGAAAAGTCACAAAGTAAGTGACATTAAATAAGTGGGCAAATATAATTCTTTCATAGATAAGTCAGCACTGTTATCATAGCTTAGTACTAAAAGCTTAGATTTTTTTCATGAGCCGAGTCATGACTGGTTCTCTTTAAAGTAGACCTAAACTCTAAAGTAAGATCCACTTATACAGATGAAGTAGGCATATTAGGTAGGTGTGAAGGAGTGAAGATTTAAAATGTCCTTGTCCGATCCTCCTTGACTTGAATACATAATGATTAAAATCAAGGTAAGGCACCAACAGAGTTTTTGTTTTTAGTAACAAGTCCTTTATGTTTTTCAGCTGGAAATTTTGGCCGACGTTCAAGTCTGGCGCCAGGCAGCTACGCAGGTCTTCTTTGCATTAGGCCTTGGATTCGGAAGTGTGATTGCATACTCTAGCTATAACGACCGCCATAACAACTGCCACTTTGATGCCATTCTAGTGTCATTTATTAACTTCATGACTTCAATCCTGGCAACGCTCGTGGTGTTCGCTGTCCTGGGATTCCGAGCCAATGTTATTGCAAAGAATTGTGTCAAAGAGTAAGTTAATTTCATTTCCAATGGGAAACATCCACATTTAGGCTGTCCATAGAAAAACAGTGATAGATGTGCTCATTTGATTATTCCAGTTTCATACCTGCAGCAGCTACTACTGCATTTTCACTACTTTACCAACATTTGATGGTCAGGAGCTGCTTTGTCGCTGACACAGGCACCTTTTTGTGAAGATTATCCTCCTGGTTTGTATTGAATTTCCAGGAGCTGTGTAGAGCTGCAGCTAACGATTATTTCTGTATAATGTACTATTGCTGGGTTTTGTAGTCCTCTATAGCTGGTGGTATTCCGCATTGCGCTGTATAATGTATTATTGCTGGGATTTGTAGTCCTCTATAGCTGGTGGTATTCCGCATTGCGCTGTATAATGTATTATTGCTGGGATTTGTAGTCCTCTATACAGCTCAGTGCAGAATATCACCAGCTATATTAGGAGCACCCAGCAGTGTATAATGTATTCCTCTATAGGTGATGGTACATTGCTCTGTATAATATACAGCACAATGTATATTCAGCTATAGAGGAATACAAATCCCAGCAATACATTATAGAGCATCATGTGTGGGAAAGTGCAGGCTTACCTGAGCAGTCTTCCAGCAACTTGCTTCTGAGATCGGACCTATCGGCGGCTGTCATCCGCCCACACCTGCTCCTCCTTACTACATCTCCCCGCGTCCCTGTGCCGATCGTGGATGCGGGCGGTGAGTGTGAGGCGGGGAGGAGGTGCGGCGCGCAGCGTGTGTGGAGCCGTGAACAGTGCCAACTGATCAGAAGCCGATTAATCGATTATTGAAAAAGTTGACAACTTTTTCAATAATTGATTTATAATCGATTATGTCGATTAGTTGTTGCAGCCCTAGAGCTGTGTTCTGGGTTCAACTGATATCTAGTTGTTTTTTAAAGCCCAGCCCTGGTGAAGGGGGTTTGCTAAACTCCGAAAACACATTGGCTGTCTTGTTTTTTGTCATTTTGCGAAACCAATAAAATACCATTTTGGATCCATAAAGGGCGTTCTTTGAGTAGACGATCCACCCCTCGTCCAATTAGAAAACACCATGTATTCCGTGTTAAGACCCCCTGTGTTAGGGTAGAGGGAAAGATGCTCACCACAGCACCATATAGGATCCAGAAGATTGCTGTAAAGGCTACTACACATACATTGGCGTGGGGGAGGTATATAGACTGTGATAAGACTGCAGTACCACAGAGAAGCACATATGACAAGTTCACTGATTCTTGCTACAAACAGTTTCGTAAAGTAAAATTAAAGGTAAGCTAAGTGCATGTGAAAAATGTTAGCACAGTTGCAGGGATACCATTAGTGATTTGCTCATATGTGTGATTCTTTGACAGGCATTGGCCAGGTATCGTCGGATTGATTCATAATGGCATTTTGACAAACGACTTAATACCAAAGGAAAACCTGACTATTGAGCACTACAGCCAATGGTACATGAACACCAATCAAACCATTAATCTGACAGACTACGGCATTCAGAATTGCAGGGTGGAGGACGAGATGAACAAGGTTTGGAAACTCCGTCTAATAAGTAAGACGTGGGCATATCTATACAGTCACATGAAAAATATCCTGATTATCTCTTTTCTCTGTGTTGGCAGGGTGTGGAAGGCACAGGTTTGGCATTCATCGTGTTCACGGAAGCCATGACTCGTTTACCTGCTTCCCCATTTTGGTCTTTGTTGTTCTTCCTGATGCTGCTAAATCTGGGGCTGAGTACCATGTTTGGGAACATGCAGGGAATTATCACCCCACTTCTGGACAATTTCTCATGGTTACGCAAGAAGAAAACATTATTCACAAGTAAGGACATCCAACCGCTTCTGCTTAAAGTGAATCTTCAAATCGTGAGACTATGTCGGAGGCACTGGGAGGAGTCTCTTGCCGTCCTTTAACTTTTAAGTTAATTTGCAGGTAGCTCATTAGTTTGTGGTTAAGCAGCACAAAGGAGCTCAGGGACAGAAAACTGAACACCAGACCAAAATGGATGTTAGAGTCCATTGGCCATTCACTGCCTGCAATCTACATATTTTTGGAGAACTACCCATAGCTGCTCTGAGTCCAGTCCTACATTTTAATCGTTTCCAGGCCCTGAGGAAGAGGGTTGTGTCTGCCCCTAAAACACGCTGGCAGTTTGATCAACACAATTATTTATCTTTTTTATGGACTCCAACATTCATTTTGGTCACCTTTTGACACTCTTCTGTTTTCTGTCCCTTAACCCTTTCGCTGCCAAGCCCTCGAGCATTTTTCAAATCAGCTGGCCAAGCCATTTTTGCAATTTTTTTCCTATTGATTTGATTTTCAACTGCTGCGTTGCTAGCGTTTGTAAAAGACCCCCCAAACCATATATTTTCTGAAAGCGCAGGCCCGATAGAATATAAAGATGGTGATAGTAAATTTGTAGGCCCTGCAATAATTGCGCAAATGTTTCTCAAATGAATATTAAACCGATAAAAATACACAATTCAATTGTTAAAACACACCAAAATCAGTATCTGTGCACAAAAAATAATTATTTTCTGACTAAATCTAAAAGATAAAACTGTATTGAGTTAATAAATAACAAATATTAGCAAATTTGTAATTGCGCCTTTTTGCGAAAAGATAAAAAAATGAAGGTATGCAAAACTGTAAATCGACTTTTATGTAAAAATTTGTTTTGGTGTTTGTGTTGTGATAAAATGACACAGGTGTATATTTAATTGCAACACAAGGTATCACAACGCATGGCAATGAGTCACAAAGCTTTGCCATGCGCTGCCACAGTTAATTTAATGTTTTTTTT